GCTGAGGNGAAAATAATATTTTTGTTATGTTGTATTTGTTGTATTTTCACTCCATCTTTTAGCATTAGAAATTATTATAAAAGGAGACAAAGCCCAAGTATGGATATGGCACAAGACATGGGGCCAATTCAGATTACACTTTCTCCTCAGCTGACCCAAAGCATGGGTCCTTGACCATTCAGTGTGCCATCCCTTCCAAGCACACGGAGGCCGACAGTATGGTCCAAATCTTGTGGGAGTGAATGATCCTGATTTAAAGGAAACGGAACACAATTCCATATAGATTGTACACACATAGGTGGACTATCTGCCCCCATATGAACAAGTGGAAGGAGCAGAGGCCAAAGAGAGGAAAAAGCAGGAACAAAACCAGCTGGGAAGCAAAATTAATTCTTAGAGAAAAATAACCCACTAAGTTTTGACACATCTTTTTAGCCACATCAACGATTTCATAGTTCATTTTTAAAGCAGATAGAGGAATTTCCCATGAGGGGGAATTCTTAGGGCTGGGGTTTTTTGAGGAAGTTATCAAATTAATGACATAAAGCCCCTGCAATAGCAGGATGTGCTTGAATCCTGTTTCATTTAGAAAGAGAATTTTATTTAATTAATTAATTTGCTTGAAAACTACCTGATAGCAAGATCTGATCAAGGTCACTATGGAAATCTAGATCCTTCTGTTCAACACAGGATATTTTCCACACCATATTATGAGGCACCATTGTCTTCCTCCTCTTCCTCTTTTTGTTGTTGCTGGTGTTGTTGTGATTAAAGGCCTAACACGTTTCATAAGGGAGGATGCAACTCAACCCTAAGTATTAATACCCTCTGAATCAGTGGAAAAAATGTTACCTATAATTGCTTTGTATCAATGTTTAATACAGTGGTACCTTGACTCACAAACTTAATCTGTTCCAGGACTCTGGTTGTGACTGAAATTGGTCGTGACCCAAGTCAAATTTCCTCATAAGGGTCAATGTAAATAAGGTTAATCCGTTCTGTAACCATTTTTTTTAATCAGGAAAATTTGAAGCAAAGTGACAAAGAACGACAAGGTAACAAAGTACAGTAGAGAACACTAACCTAGGTTATTGTTTGGAGGGAGAGTCCAAACCATAATCGTGCGATAGAGATGATACTGGGGCAGAGGGGAGACGGGGGTGATCACAGACGTGCTTATGCAGGGATGATGGGTGCCATTGTGGCTTTCCTCCCCGCTCCGAGCATGACTGCGATCGTGCCCGTGCAGGGACACGGGCGCGATCATGATTGTCACTTGATGCAGAGTTTGCAACCTGAGACAAAATTTTGCCAAAATTTCTTTTCACGACCCGATTTGGTCATGAACGGAGGCATTTGTGAGCCAAGGTACCACTGTACTTACTTTTGGAGCTTAATGAAGCCAAGATATCAGAGTTATCATAAAGAACCAATGTTGAGACTGCATCAGCTCCTAGAACAGAGTTTAGCAACCCAGGGCCTTCCAAACATTTTGGTCTATTATTCCCATGGTCTTTTACCATTGGCCATGTTGGCTGGAGTTTATGGGAGTCCAAAAACTCTGAAGGGTACCAGGTTGCATACACTTGCCTTAGAAAGTATATTATCATTTATGCATTTTAGGAGAATGTGTTATAGAAAGAGACGGAGAACTGCCCTTTGAAAGACTGAACATTTGCTTTCAGTTCCTTAAAAAAAGTTTTTGCTATGGGTTTCTTACAAGTAAAAATCTCTGATTCTTTAATGGAACCTGCACGCCATGGGCTAAATGTTTAAAGAGAAAGCAATGCCCACTGTGACCAGTAATCAGTAAAAGCAATTAGCTACATATGATTATAGAAAGAGAATGAGGAAAGTTAGATGATAAATAGTAAACTAGCACACAATGCTGTTCATGTTGTTTTTAACATAGATTCGTACCTAATTTGGTTTTGCATACAAATCCTCTTCTTTCTTGGCAGGCTGATAATTGCCAGATGCCGTCTACGGTCCTCAAGGCAATGCAAACATTCCCCTTCATTTGACCTAGTTCTGTGTCCCGGTTAACATGCCAGTTTGAATAATGAATGGGAGAACCATCAGACCAAAATGTGGTATTACCTATGGGCAAATGTACTGCAATCACAATAAAACCTGTGCCATCCAGAATGTATATATAAGACCACACACTCCTAGTTGCCATTTTCCTCCCCAGGCATTTCCTTTGGTCTGTAGGGAAATCCACATGGGTACGTCATGAAACGTCTGTGAGCAGCTTGCTAGGTTCCCCTCAGGTCATGCTCATGGTCTTGGGGCTTCATGAGGTGAGAAGACAATTAATCTGGCTCCAGTCACTTCCAAGCATGGCCATGTGTGTCCCTGCCACAGGGGGCAGGACAGGTGTTCTATGGGTATTTTATTCATGGAATATTTATGAAAAATCAATTTTGCAAAGTGATTTCTTTCTATTTTCTTTTTTATGTAAAATGTTATAAGCCACTCAAAGTTTTTGGGCCACTGGGGGAAATAAACTGGACAACAAACAGATCAGTTGAAGATCCTGATCTCCTTTATGGAAGGGAAGCAAGGGCTAAGTGTGTGTGTGTGTGTGAGAGAGAGAGAGAGAGAGAGAGAGACAGACAGACAGAGAAAGACAGACAGACACTGTGTGGGTGGCATGACTGCAGGTGAGAAAGTGTGCATGTGGGGAGAAGGCTCTGCTTGTGTTGATGTATATCTGTGTGTGAGGACTTGGTCTTGCCCCATCCCAGCAGGGTGTGTGCATGCATGAGTGGACCCCAGCTGTCCATCTTCATGTGGCCCTCAGGGCCATTCAGGATCTCCACCCCATGTGAGATATGTTGTTTATTGCAACTTGTCCTGGAAACCAAGCACATCAGGACAAGCAACTGCCATCAGCCCCACCCACCATGACCAGTGGGGAAAACTGACAGCCAAGCCAACTCATCTGGAGAACCACAATTTACCAACCCCAGAGGTACATGTACATTCCCTGTAGCCTGAATGGACAGATAGTACTGATTCATTTCCTACTTTCCTTTACTTACTATCACTGAGAGACTGGATATTCAGCCAAACCATTTCAACCAAGGACCCAAAATAATGTAGTTCTTCCAGAAGAAAGGCATTTTCATCTTCATCTTTAATAGTCAGAAGATTAGAACCTGAACACGAATACACATCAGTCTGTCACTGATTATGTTCAGAATGTAGAGTACAGTTCATTCAAAGTTTTGTATTTTGCTGTACTTATGAATTGCTATTAAGGGGGAAAAAGAAAATACCTGTCCCACATACTGTTCTCATATTCTACCCACCCGTCTGTCCATCCGTCCAGCTATTTATTCCATTTCTAGCAAATAGCTAAAGCTCTCTCTCTCAACAGTTTCCCAAGTAAGGACCATAATATAACATAAGACAATGCAGATTTTGTTTAAGGGGAATGACACTTTTTATCCCTCTTGCTTAGAGCATATTCAAAGACACCTGGATTTATTCCTGGAAGTCCTAAGCAAGATAAAATTGGAAACTGCCGAGTGCTGTCCCATTTGTGACAGCGTGTGGGGAGGGGGCACAGACCTTTCCAGACTGATGCTCTTGCAGCAACACCAGCACCCCTGCTGCATTGGCCGAGGTGGCAGAACACCCATATTCTTTTGGGAAGGCTGTTTGTGTACTGGAAAAAAGATGCCGTCATCACGTGCAGGGAAGGGCAGCATCAGAGAGCAGAAAACAAAGGGACAAAGCCTCAAACAGCTACTAGAAATGATAATTTACTTTTACAAGTATTTTAATTTAAAATAAAATCTTCAGGGCAATGTAAATGGCATGTATTGACATGTGAAGGTTGTACATTAATTACATAGATTAAAATGTGAAATGCTGCTGAAACATCTAGCTTTCTCTGGATTGCAGCAAATGTATTCAAGAACATTGAAAAGAGACCCACTTTTTCATAATAGACTTAAACTTTGAAAATAAGGTTGCCGATCAAACAACGTGCAGCGTGTGGTTTACCTTGCTTTTTGCAAAATTCAAATGCTTCATAAAAGTTCAGTTTCTCTAAAACTGTGGAAAAGCTGTAGCAAGTGCTTTCAAATTTTATCCAAGGGACTGGCTTCTCTTCACACAATCCTTTGTATTCCTTTGCTTTTGTCTCTGTAGCAGAAAGATAGTTCAGTCTCATCAGAAAAAAACCGTAATAAAAGCTCAAACTCAGACCTTATACATTGGCTTACTGAGATATACCATATGAATGTCAATCCCGTCATCATAGAAAAATATTTTGTGTATCTTGTACCTCAGACAGATTAATAGCATCTGGAAGGTGATGGGGCAATTCTCCTTCAGCTGCTATTTTGCATCTTAGGACATAAATCTCTGGCCTCACGAATGGACTGGGGTGAGTCAAAAGGTTATTCAGAGCCCCTGCCTGCTCCCCTTGCAGGCAACATGGAAAGAATGGCACCAGCTGCCTTTCTGAGGTTGGAATTCGACCTTGGAGGGGAGGAAAAGAGTCTGGGGGTGCCAGCTTTCGTTGTATCTAAATGGCATCCTTCCCCTTTGTAGTGCTTTACCTGCATGTCCATAAACGGCCACCTAGAGCAAGTTCAGGGTGCAAAGAGAAGGGCAGTGGAAGCGGCTGCTGCCACAGGCACCGGGTACACATATGTTTATGTGTGTGCAGCACACAGGGCCCTTTATGGGATGTTCCCCAAGAACCTTCTGGCATATTGGGGTTCCGCGTTAGAGCGCTACTATTCTTCACTGCACTACTTTCTTTTTACTTTCCATTTCCAGGCCAAAAAAGTAATGTAGTTGCACTTAATATAAGTCTATAATGAAAAATTTAAAAGGTCCAGCATTCTGTGCTCATAGTGGCCAAGCATGTATCAACGGGGACTGCACAAACTAGACATCAATTCAGTTCACCCATCCCCTTGTGTTCCCCAGGACCTGGTATGCCAAGACATGCTGCTTCTGATATTGGGTAGCTTATCTGCTATTAATCCATCTTTAGAATTATCTCGGCAGTGTTTGGACACTACTACAACTCATTGGTATTTGGGTATGGCTGTCTTCTTTCATTACAGATTTCAAGTGAGAAAAGGGTATATAAGGAAAATAATTTCAGTGAGATTTGGGGTGCATTTATTGCATACGTGTTAAAAAAGGGAAATGATTTGAACCTTCACAAGAGTCACTGCAAATTTGGAAGGGAAATTTCTTGAAAGAATTTATGAATGCATTCTCAACACGTATCCAATGGTTCCAGTGATGGGGTGCACAAAGATTTTTTTATAAATTATTTTAATTGTATGTTTAATATTGCTTGGCTTTATTTGAATGGTAAGTTTCTCTTTTAATTGTGTTTTATATTGTAAAATAAATTTAAAAATAAAAAACAAATTTCAAGTATTGGTAACATAGGTGAAATACATCATAACATGGAGTATTTAAACAAGGCATTTCCAATCATCTCAACTTCTGATTTTAAGAAGACATTCAAAGATTAGAATGGGTTATTTGACAGAAAGGTTTGCCAGTGTTTAAACCTAATGACTGACTTACTGGGTGAGATGTAACAAATGGCTCCATTCAAAAGTGTCTCACAGCCAGTACTTCTCCAGCGTCCACTAATATCCATGTAAACACACTTTCCTGAGGTCTGTGATTCCTCATCTCTCCAGAATGTAAGAAAAGGCTTGGTTCCATCTGACCACTCAAAGCTGAGACCATTCTGTCAAAAGAAGCGTTTGATTAGCTCTTGTAAATTATTAAGTAATTTTTATTTACTATTGTTACACTTTCTTATAAAGAGCTAAATTCATGCTTTCCTTTCCAGGGCAGGATCCTAAATCAACAGTGAAGAAATCTTCCCTAAAGATGTTTTCCCTAACCCTTTTATGCATACGTGACAAAAGTCACATTATTATTAGAAACACAGGAAGCTATCATGCCATTGGTCCATCCAACTGAGTAGTGGCAGCTACTCCTCAATGTTTCAGACAGGAGTCTTTTATGGCCCTTCTGGAAATGCCAGGAATACAAATTTGCATGCAGAGTATGGGCTCTACTGCTATGGAACACTTTTAGAATAAACTGCACGTTTTTAAGGGCTCATCTGGAAGGAAGTGTGAAGGAAGCCAGGTAAGCAAACCTTTTCAGTCCATATATGCCTTCAGCTTATTTGCCTGTCCTCTTATCAGATATGCTGACAAGGATCTTCCTGGTGCTCCAGCAGTGGCCAAGTAACATGGAAGGAGGCCTTTTCTGTGACCGCATCTCAATTATGGAAGTCAGTCCCTCAAGAATTCTGCATGGCTCCCTTTCACCATCTAGCCAAGGCATCTTCATTCAGGCAGATGGTTAACCTGCCTAGCTGAGGATTTTTAGTAGTTGGACTCCGTTTTTAAAAACTATTTTTATCTGCCATCTGTTTTACCTATTCTTGTTGCTGAATAACTATACCATTGTTTGTATTTCCTTTTAGCGTTAAAATATTGCAAGCTGTGTTGAGTGCTGTGATTACAACATTTTAATACTGGAATTTGTGACATTTGGTATGACTCAGAGCGGAAAAGGTAGCTGTTTCTCCTCAGAAATACTTTCAACACTTACATAGCGCTGGATAGGGTTTAACAAACCGCTCTGTGCGTGTTCAGAGTTTCATTTTGAGTATTTGTGCGTCTGGAAAGCACTTTGGCTGATGAAGAATGTTTTGCTAGAAAGGTCTGTGGCTTGGCATGTGAGAAGGGAGGAGCCCTGCCTCATGACAGCAAGTAGCCACGACCGAAGGCTTGAGCATGGCTGCCAACAGCACCTTTTCAGCCTGGTAGTCAGCTACCACCTTTTGGAATATCCAAATACTGACCATGTGACAGCCTCTCTGAAATCTGGGCTCCCCAAAACAGGGTTTGGTGATACCTTGAGCCCTTGAGGTTAAAGGTAAAGGAAAAGGAAAATGAGACTTTTCCTTCTTATGTTTTCTGCATGTATCAGGATGCCAATTATCTCAGTGGGAGGTCCAATGTAGCTTGCCATAGGAGCACTGGCACTATGCGATCCACGTTGATGGCTGTGATTGGACCTTCCCAGTACATGGAATTTCCACAGCCCAACATTCCATCTGATATTCCATTCCACTTGTCCTGTGCTAGAATACTGCCTTCCAATCAGGAGAACTTCATGCCCCAAGTTTTGACTGCTGGGTATAAAAACATTCTATTTTCAGATTTATTTCTCAGAGTGCCTTGGGACGTCGCTGACTGAGCCATTTTGGGAATGCATTTCATGGCCATCCATTTCTAGGGAAAAGCATTTTTAATCTATGCCTAGTTTCAGCTTCCTAGGTTTCTAAGAAGTATTTTGCCATTTGGGAGAACACGTCTGAGTCCCCAAACTTGGGACAATGAAAGCTTGGGGTATGAAACACAGAAATATCCTATTCAGAATTCTGTGGTGTGCCTTGGACTAAAGATGTTCTTCACTTTAGGACTGTAGATCCCACTCTAACTTCCCTAACTTTCTGGAAAATATACTAATTTCAATGCCTGTGTGCCTGAGCATAATCATAAAAATTAAACATTGGGCTGGTCCCAACAAAAATCTCCCATGGATGGAACGTTTCCTTCAGTCAGCAGAAAGTTTATTTTCATTGGCTAATTGGGGCAGATGGTGATCTTTGCCGATTCCTTCATTTCCCTGCAGTTCTCTATATCCCCTGAAAACTTCCCCTGAAGTGTTGCGAGACCTGCAGGAAGAGTGGGGAGGTAGCACTGGGAGCTGCAGAGGCAGGGGAAGTTGGCACGAACGGCCTTTCTCACTTTCTCACCACCTTCTGGAATCTTCTAATCAAAATTTAGCTTGGCAATGTTCCTGTGGGAAAAATTAAAACTGTGGACCTAACCCATAATTTTGTGTTCCTACTGGCTGTTTGATTTCACTGTGTTGCTTGGATTTGCTTCTGCATTCAGTTCTCCTCTGTCCAGACATTCATTTTAATGGCTTGGATTCAGAAACAGATCCACTGCGCCCGTCTCCTTAAGTTCTTGATAGGTTATATTGAAGTACACTTGCTACCCAGCAGACAAAGATGTTGAATACCTACATCTGAAGTGAACAATCCAATCCAGTGAGCGTAGCCCAATCGATTTACGATTACAGTTAGAAAGGCTTGGTGAAAATGGTCTGCAATGCGAACCAATTCAGCCCCCTTTTCCTTGCAGGTTTCTAAAGCCATAAACCAAGTCATACTGCCAGTGATTAATGTGTACGTCCTGTTTGCATATTCCAAGATATCTGGTGTTGGGTACATCACTGAAGGGTCTGTTCCATGTTTGGATGCATCTGTGGCAAGAAGAGTATTAAGGGGAAAAAAGTCACTTGAAAAAACATTTAAACATCTCCATGTAGCATGCACTGTTTAGAAATTAAAACTCCCTAAAAACAGTGTAGCAGTAGACTGGGACTAGAACTGGCTTGTAGTGCAAAGGAGCCAGTGGTGGGAAATGTTGACTCCAGATGTTGTTTGACTCGAACCCCCATTTTCCCCAGCCAGCACAGTTGGAGGTGATGGAAGCTGTAGTCAACATCCGGAGGGCCATGTGTTCCCCACCTCTGAGGTAGACCTTTGCACTGACAGTAGCACTCTTAAGTACACCCTCGAGTCCCAGAAAAGCACGTCACAGACCAGGCTGCAAGTACCTGAGAGTCTGGTCTCAGAACGATCTTGAGTTTTATTTTTAAACAGTTATTCTGTATTTCCACTACGAGAAAAAAAATCCACCAGTGCAATTTTCCAGGTAATATAATGCAATTATTATCTTTCTACTGGACAAGAGTGTGCAAAACTACTACAAAAACAATACAAATGAAAAAGCCTATAAGATGAAGCTTGAGGCATGAATTGGAAAACATGAAAAGCTTAATCACCATCGTCGGTGGCAAGACTGAGCTGTGCCCAAGCACCCACTAGCAGCGAGGTATATCATGTTTTTTTTCAAAGGCAGAGACCTGAGAGAAACATGAAGGCAGACCAAATAGCAATACCAGATGTGATTATTAATTGTTAACTGACCTAAACATCTTTACTAAAATCAATGCACAGCAACTTATGACTCAGGTAGCAGCTTAAAGTAGGATTAGCTTTCCTTTTTCTTTATCAGAAGTCATTGTGAAAAGAACAGAGAAAATTAAGGGAGAAAAGTGGATGGAGAAAAAAAAGAAGAAGATCTATTTTGGGCAGACCTATTAACTCCCATTCATTTAACACCCTGTGCACCCAACCTTGTTTGAAAGCTACAAATCAGCATTGGAGGCTCCAAGTATAAATCTGTTTGCCTGGAAAGAACTCCTACCCCTGTAGGCAGGAAATATGAAAACTGGCTATCACAAAGAGTCTGGCTAACAGTTTCCTTTGTAGGATGGGTGGGCCCTAGCACATTCTCCAAAATACTTCCCTCAAAGTATGCCCAACTGCTAACCAGGGCTTTAAGCACTACAGGTGGAGAACATGCTGATTATGTGTTCTGTGTTGAAGCTAAACAAGCATGAATTCTACAAAAATAATTTCCACTGGATTAAGCTGTTATCTCCATATCTCTCTCTCTAGCAGCAGGAACAGGGATTAAATTAAACCATACCCATTATATTTATAACAAGGGAGTGTGGGGTATGTTTTGCCAATGGTTCTAGGGCACAAAAGAAAGGCTTCAGTGTATATGTGGGATTTCCCCAGGAACAGGACGTGTTCAATTCAATTCGATCCTTACATAAGGAAGGATCCTGTGCGTGCAATATATAGTGCATGTGAAGCCTTCCAAGCGAAAACTGAAGCCCCCCAAATCTGTTGAAGTGTAGCTCCTTTTGACTACTGGAACCCTGCAGAGTATGCCATCTAGGAAGATTTGCTGAATGGGTCATTTATACACATGGGTTCATGTAACACAAACACAGCAGGAAGATCACAAAGCTTAGTGTGCGCATGCATGTGTGCTTGTATGGAGGAAACCAACATGCATTCTTTACCTTGAGCCTTCTGGCAGACAAATCCATAATGCTTTTCACAGTCTTCTAGGTACCATTTCCCCATTAAACCCAAACTAGGGTTATTCAATATTAGGGTACACAACTGAGCTTTTTCTTCTGTAGCAGCACTGTAATCATGGCGATTCTGAAATTAGCATGTTATAGTGGAAATCACTGTGAAAAGCAATATGCAAGCATTTTTTTAGCCATTATTAAGAACAATTATCATTAGATAAAATATATTGAAGATAAGTGGAGCTTGAAACAAAAGTTGCAGTGTGGAGTAGCCTTTGTTGAAGAGCCCCCTCCCCCCCAATTTCCTTTTTTAGTTCACAGCTATTCCAAATTCTGCAGTCACTAATCACATGCAGTCCTCACTGAGTTGTTTGGGTTCTCTCTCCCCCACCTCATGGTTTCTTTTATATAATTTTGGTACTTCTGCAAACCTCAAGGTTCCTTTGAATCTGAAAAGCTCTCCAAGATATATGGAAATTTGGAAATTTCCTAGTGCTTTATTTTTCGTAACAATACCTGGATGCCAACTACTAATACTGTATTAGGTAAACTTGGCAGTATCAAATTTGTAATGAGTGCTTTTCAGATGATTATCTTTAGCAAGAATGTGAGCCAATACATAGCAGTCATTGAAACACATCTGTGTCTCAGCATGAATGAAATGAGTAAGTAGTGAATAGCGAAGTCTGAAGATCACCTAATAACTTTAATGGAAGAAAGCGGGACTCTGAAGAAACAGATAAGCAGTTGTCAATACATCATGCAGTTCTCTGGGTTGCTAAAAATAATGGGTACCAACTTCCCCAATCCAGTGTCTTTCAGTTCCGTTTGACCAGAACTGGCAGCATATCCAACTAGCCATGCTGACTAGAAGATGCCGTGAGTTGCATTCTAATATATCAGGGGGACACCAGTATCGGGGAGGCTGCATTAGAGCCACCTTTCAGTGGCTTACACATTATCTAGGTGGCCAGAGCATACTCCTGACCCACAGATCCAAGGCTGGTGGCAGCATCTGAACTTCCGAGTGAGGGACCTTTGCTCCAAGCCCTGCCCTGCATTGCACCTGGCATGGAAAGAACCGCTTTGGCATTCCAAGGGGCAGGAAAAGGCAGAGATTGGCACTGAGGTGCCTCAGCCAGATGGCTGAAATTGCCCATCGAGCTAAAATGCACAGCAAGAGGTACAGGGAGGCAAAGACCACCCCTGCCTCTTCTGCTCTGCACTGGATGCTTGCAAACCTCCGGGACTGGGAGCTTACAAACATAGTGTAATTGATACGACTGTGGCCTTAGTGTACCAACACTGTTCAGTACCTTTGGTGTTTAGTTACACTTAATCAAGGTAAGGCATGCTATTGTCCACACGTTTTTACAATTCTGTAAAAAATCTATATAGCCTAACATTTAAATCACATTAAGTGTGCTTTAATATTTTTCCCTCAAATATTTCAGGCTAAATACACATTTTCAGCTTTGTTCCTGACTAAATATAAATGTGTAAGCATGATAAATTAGGGCAATTCAATGCATATTGAACAGTTTGCTATCTAAATGACCCTATGCAAATTAGTATAGGACACTTTTCCAGTAAACCAACATCATTGCTTACTTTTGTGCCTCGGTGGTTCTGTTCTGGCTACACAAACAGCATTTAACCCTAAACATCAAATATTAAGGGAAGAAAGATACAACTTTTGATGTGGGGCAGGAGTTTTACAGTACTGAAATGCAGAATGTAATCATTTTATGAAATACTGTTTGCAAGTGGACTAAATAGCTGGAGGGATCACAGTGCATGCTGGCTGGATTATGGGGAAAAGATAGACAGCTGCTAATGAAACCCACAAGTCTCACCTCTGATCTGCCCAATTTTAAGCAGAACAATGGTCCCCACAGATAAAAGAGCCAATGTTAAAATAAAATAATCAGAAAATCAAGACTCCTTACAAAACTAAGACTTGCCTGCATTACTCCTACTGGAGACCAGTTGGAATATTCCACTCCCTGGCCGTTAACCCATTTTTCATCATCATTACTCAGCAGACTAATCCACACACTAGATTTATGGCCAAGCAAATTCATCGTGATGAAAGCTAGAAAAGAAAACCAAAATTCAGAAATAAATCACCTGAAGACTGATCGATTGATCGATGGAAGGACACAAAGCAATAAAAGAGTATAGCATCTATTAGCTCATTAAAAAAAAAACAAAACTGAAGTCAGAAAGAAATGAGAAATGAAAGGCTGTTAACAGGATGAGTTTGAAATGCCAGAATACTATGGTCTGCTGCCAACATTTGGGCTGGGAAAGTCTCTTCATCCGCCCACTCTCTAGGGTCCTCTGCTCATGAAGCATTAGAGGCTGACATCCTGATCTGTGCAGGTTTACTCAGATGCTACTGAATTAACTGGTGCTTACTCATATAAAACTTTTCACAGAACTGTGGCCACCCACCTCATGTATTCTTTGGGAAGGAAAAAGAGAAATGGTCTCTGTATCTTTTACTCCCAAGTTTGGTCCTCCACTGCTCCATGACGTATAGAAAGAGGTTGTTTGCCCTGGAAGCAAGCCAAACCACCAATGCTTTCTCTGGGAAATCTAACTGCAACTGCTAAGGACCTGCTGGGCTATTGGGAAGGGACACACAGTGGCTTCTCCTCCTCTTCCCTCTGAGTATGAATGGGCTGAATGCAGTCATCCAATCCATGGCTACAGTTCCATGGGAGTAACTCACAGGGGTTTAGTTCCAAGTAATCCTGGGGTGGGCAACCTGCTGCCTTCCAGATGTTTTGGCTTGCAACTTTCAGCAGCCCTAGCCAGCATAGCCAGCCCTAAGCAATGATGGGAGTTCTAAGCCAAAGCAGCTGCAAAGGGAAATGAGTTGCTCACTTTTTTAGTAGCTTTGCACAGACTTGGGATCACTGGGTGCCTTCTATCAGGTTGAACAATACTCTGTTTGTATGGATGTTTCAGCTTCGTAATACAAGGCTGGTTGACAACTGAGGGATTGAGACTGAGCCCTGACCTAGCCAGCACTGGCATTGGTTAGCACAGAATTTTGAAAAGGAGAGATTCTTATCTGGTTTGTTTTCTACCCTTCTCATAGTCAGAAGGGCATTCAACATTGGGTCAGGACTCGTGCGTTGAGATGGAAGGCAAGAACTAAAGCTCTTTCTTGCGTGAGCTGGGAACCGCCCTTGACCCCTAAATTGACAAAGGCCACAGTAGGAAACATGGTCCTATTTTAACCGTCTGATAAGATCTGACAAGCAGGACAATCCATTTGCCCAGCTGAAGTTGGTCCTAGCAAATACAGAGGAAGCATTCTTAGAATCCTTGCAGTAGTTTATTCTGGCTTTGCAGTCATTCTGGACTGAAATACTTTGCCAGGAAAGCATTTGATGTAAAACCATTGAACTACAACTCCTATCATCCTTGACCATTGGTCATGATGATATCTGTGCACATTGGGAGTTATAGTCCAACACATCTGAATGGCATCACCCTGGGGATGGTTGAGCTATGGGATGGTCCAACTTAGGAATGTTCAGGTTAGTCTTTGGGGGAAAAAACCCAGATTTTTAAGTTAAATTGGGCAGATTTAGATAAGAACTGCCCCGCCCCCCAGACCTTCAAACAATGTAGAGAAAGAACCAAACTTCCAGTGGACTGAGCAAATGGGAAGATCATGTCTTTTGGAAGGGTTGGAGAACAGAGCTTGGACACGACCCTGGGGAAGATGCGTCTACAAACTTACCTAGCAGTTTTTGTTCATACTATGATGGAAAAGAAAACTGGCCTATAGTTGCTTAGAGTTGCACATCACATTTTCTTCCTTACTTTCTTCCCTACCTGTCTGACTTCCCAGAGCCCACAGGTGACACACAGGGAAGCTCATGTGCAAAGAGGTTGGTGTATTCAGCATGGTTTCCTCCAAAATTCTAGGCTATGAGCCATGAATTCTAGGCTATAGAGCCATGGCCTATTTCTCTGTGGCCTGCTTACTCTCCTGTTGAGAGGCCCACCACTCTGTGCAACGTTAGGTCAGCAACTTAGAAGGTGGCCAGAGTGTTGAAGGAGTTGGGCGACTTCTGCTTCTCTTTCTGCAGTGTTTTTTATAATGTCTTAAACTTTTAGCTGCCAGGACTCTTGAAGTGCCCAACTAAAACCTAGTTGTCCAAGGCAGGAATCCAAGGAAATGGTTTTAGCCCATAATGTAGTCCTATTTATAAATAAATATTCCAAAGAGAACATCTTTATAGCACATTTACAAACTTGTCTAATGGTATATAACTACTGTACCTTGTTCAACTTCATTTTCAATTGAAGCAAGTGAGCCATTATAGCTCTTGCAGAAAGTCTGGGCAGAATGCCAGCTTTTCAGGTGTCTTGGATCCTTTGGAATCTGCAGTAGAAAACACTGTTCACAGAAGGAAATCGTTATTTAACTGGAGTTCTTAGGTTGACACTTATGATCATAAAAAAGAACCTATTAATATTAATATAATATTGTCATTGCCTACACAATCTAGAGAAGTGAAAATTGTTTGTCCATGGGCCTGAACTCTAAAAGGGCCTGACAGTCTGAGCTAAAGGAGGGCTCTGAGTTTATCTTATACAAGTTTATCCCTGATGAGTGTAGAATTCTATGTTGTACAGGAACCAAGGGGAAATTTCCCCAGTCACTGAGAATAGTGACGACCAACGACCAACACTTGCTTCAGAGGAAGAATATTCCACAGGACCACAGAAGAGTAAGAAAGGGTTGAATTCCTCCTCTACACCTTCTATAATTCCTGTTCTCACCAGACTTCCCCACAAACCCATGAGTTGAAATTTGCATTAAATGTAATATGCTGCAGAAATGGTGTCAAGAGGCCTTTAACCTCTATTGTATTTTGGCCCCAACAGGATTTTAGTTGCATAACTGAACAAGGTGAGAAAGAGTGAAGAAGTGAGCTAAAGAAGGACCTGCAACCAAGTAGAGACCACAGACAACGTGTCATCCAGAAAAAGAAGGTGACTAATATGGTGTTAAGAGAACCACGCTTGTGTACATGTAAGGAAGAATTGGGAGTGCTTGAAAACAGGAATCTAAAACGGAAGAAATGAAGTGAAGCAATGAGTATGCAACAGCCATGGAAGCTGCTCTCCAGGGAAGCCATCAACAGCAGCTGTGTGAAGATCAGTGGTGGAGGATCACTGGGGAACAGTGAAGGATTCTCATCCTCTACCTTTGGGCATTGGGAGAAAATGGTGGAGACAGGAATAGCCTCGGCCAATATCATGAAAGGTACTGGACGGCTGTCTCTGCCTGCTGATTTCCACGGTGCTGACCCCTGCCTTCAACAGGTACTTTCCCTAAAGGTAGGCATAGGAATTTCCCCCTCTGGTTGATTAGCATTCAGTGGCTTCTGGTGGTTTCACTTTCAGAAATGCTTTCCTCTCTGCCACTGTTGGTCACAACGGGTTATCGTTAACAATAATTGATTCTAGGTGGAATCAGACAAAACATTCCCTTTATGTAACTTCCCAATTGGCAAAGAAGGCGTGCATCAATATGTATCAAAATTGGTCCACAAAGTCTTTAGTTATGCCAAATAATGTGCAGTGACTATAGGCTAAAATAAAATGGTCCAAGAAACCATAAAGAAGCTTTCTCCAACCTGGTGCCTGCCAGATGTTTTGGATTACAACTCCCAGGATTCTTGACCAGTGACTCTGATGGCTGACATGTTGGGTGTTGGGTCTAAAGCTCTGGAGGGTGAGGAAGGCAGCCGTAAATCCTGTACTGCTCTTTTGAAGATACTTAACATGGAAGCATGCAATCATGTGAGCTAATTTAATGGAATAACAACTGCTAGATGAAGATGATGATGACAACGACGACGACAGAGCACAGTGGATGACGGAATTATCTGGTCTAGACACCAATGTGTGCCTTGACAGGTCTGATGAGTAAAAGCCAGGAATAGTTCTTCAGTCCTGCCCTATCTTGCCCTGTCTTGGAACAAAGGTTCACGGAAGATTATCTGAGCTTCCCAACAGCCAGTCTCAAAAGAGAAGGAAGAAGCTGCTGGCAGGCTGCTTAAACCGTCTTGTCAGGAGTTCTCAAGTTCCAACAAGTTGTGCTTTGTGCATCTCAAGCTGGTGGTATTTGCTGCTTTTGCTGAGCTGCTTTTCTAGGACTTTCCCTGAACTCAAACCTCTTTTGTATCCCATCAGGTCTGAGCTTTTCTACCCAAGGCACTCACGATTGCTGACTCACACTTGCACATGGGTCCTTAGAACAACACTGTCCTCTTTTGTTTCTGGTTTGTTTGCTTTTCCCCCCTGGCTTGTATAGAATGGTGAAAATGGGGCTATCAGTTCTGAATGCACTGTTTCTCCTGGTATATCTGCGCTATTCTGCTATAACGCCACTTCCCCTGGAGGGGAAAACAGGAAAGGAAAAGCTCTTGGTGTAGGGCTCAAAACTCAAGTCTGTGACAAAACCAAAAGCATAACAGCAGTTAACAACCTCTTGTAGACAAACTCTCGACTGTTTGCTTTTCTCTTTATCAAATTATGCCACCTTTTTCCTGGCTTGTCCTAACAATAGTGACATTACTCCATTAAGAAGTCAGGCCTGAAATGCTAATCTCTCTGATTATATTTTACAATTAGATTTTTGTTTACACGTGTTTTATAAGAGTCATGAGGTAAACATTTATCCCATCTACCTGAACAGCCAGAGAAGATATAATTATATTTGTACTTAAAAGAGAAGGTTCTGGGAAAAGAGAGAGTTCTGGGAACTTAATCACATGTAGAAGGAAGTATAACTAAAACCTGAGAGGTTTCTATTTTATTCCTTTTTTCTGGAACATACTTTCATTTGGTGTGTTCAGATGATCATATATTGGCTTAATATGTCTCTTGCACCCGGCTACAGCCGCTTTTCTTCTCTCCATGTAAGAGGGGAGCCGACACATGACGCTGGAGTTAACTGTTCTCCTATTATGTCCAAACTTGGAAACTCTGGTTAATGGTTTCCAATGATGCCATGATATTAAGGCATGGTTTAAAGCTGGCTTAATACCCTGGCTCATTTGAAAGTCATTAAATATAGTTCCTCAGTTTGGACATAATGGGGAATGATAGTTAATTGCACAATGGGAGGAGCAAAGAGACTGCATGCAAGTGCATGGGATTCATGACCATCTCAAGTTAGTAGGTAGAAACATGATTGTATGAACACAGCCACTGGGTGCAAACCCAGCAATTCCTGCCACTTAAGAGTCTGTTGCTGGGGTGTACTCACAGACTCTTTATTCACGGTAAGCCAGCAATCCTGGATTATTGTTATGTACAAACATCATTCTCAATGTTTGTCTCCTTCTGGCCTAACTCAGATTTTCCTATAAATTCATGGGAAAAATTGTACATAAAATTTTTTTATTGTTAGCATGAATGCATCCGAAAATAGGTGTTTGTGGATATGCATTCATATACTCTAGATAGTATTAAAAAAACCCCGAGTCAGACGATTACCTTGAATGAAAAGTACAGCCATCCTTTGGGACATAATCCATGATGGTTCTGCTCTTTTGGCATTTTTTTCTCAACAATCCATATCTCTTTACGTTTGCAGATGCAAGGAAGAGAAAGGGTACAATTCGCTAAGCCCCAAAGCCCTAAAAATATAATTGCATTATTGTTAATAAAACTTACATTGCCATGTGAATACAAATCTAACAACACTGGGTATTACTTTACATTACAAGAGCCAGTGCGATATAGTTGTTCTAGTGTTGGACTGGGACTTGGGACATCTGGGCTGTAGTCACCTCCTGGCCCTGAGGCTCACTAGGTAACTTTGAGCGAGACACTAACTCTCAACCTAACCCACCTAACAGGGTTGTTGTGAGGAGAAGGGGAGAAAAAGAGAAACTTGTAAGTCACCTTGAGTTCTATGCCAGAAGAAAAAAGATGGGATATAACTGTAATGCAGAAATAATAGTTATGAGTAATGATTCTTGAAGCATGTGTCCATGCCGGGAGAGAAGCATGCCCTGGAGTCCATTCACATCACATACAGTGCTAATGCAACCATAATAACTCCAAACAATTATACATCTGAGCATTTGTTGCGAACTCAGAGCGAGAAGCACAGCAAATTATACTAGGGACAGAATTCAGATTCCTTTTCACCCCCACAGATTTCTCTTCCCCAAACAGTGGGTCCCACCAATTCTGTTGCACAAGCAGTACCCGAAGTTCATGCAAGAGGATTTTAGCACTTCTTGGGGAGGCCGTGAAGCAAGTGAAAGTGCTCGTCTCTGGGAGAAAGCAAGTTGCTGGCAGACCCTCAGGCAAGCTCTGACCTGCTTCCTTCCAGAAGGTGGTGTTTACGCCCCCTTCAGTTTGCCCTGAAAGTGCTGAATTGCCGTTGCACAAGAGGTGAGGGTGGCTGTGCAAGAGAACTGGCAAGGCTGAAAAAGAACGGTGGGAGCGCAAGCCCCACTTCTGCCTCTATTCAGCACTCTCTTTCCTGAAGCTGGTAGTTACAAGAATACACGTGTAACTACTCCCAAGGGTGAGGACTGGACCCCCACCAATAACTTTATTTTTCCAAATGAATTAAAAATCCGGGAAGCAAATAACTGGAAAAGGGCATTTCATATTGCACAAAACCGTTTGCAACATTAGCCTGCCCGGACAATGCTACTTGCATTCATTTTGTGGTTCTCCCATGTGCTGTCTGCCACACTGCCCAACTGGACTGCAAGGCTTGTAATCACCCGTGTTACTCTGCCGTGGACGGAATACATCAGCAGAGATTTCCCCTTACTGCAGTTCTCCATGCGGTCCCTGCAAATCTGCTCTTGAGGGTTGGGCAACCTTCCTGAGCAGGTTCAGAAGAATGGCAGAGCAGAAGAGAAGTCCTGTTGCCCAAGGAGGCGATCTAACTGTCCTACTGTAATAATGTTCTTTGTCATGCTGCAGACAGAACCATAGTAAGGCAATCTGGCATCCTTGGTAGAAGGGCCATGCCATTTTGATAATATTCAGGGGCTAAACTACATTCTCTGATAAGTGTGGAAAGGCAGGCAATGACTTAAAAAAACACTTTTGCATAAGGGTCAGGGGTCCTGACCTAGACCAGCACCACAGCATGTAGGCAGAGGGTTTCAGCCTTCCCATCTAGCTAGTCTCCCTCCCTCTCATTTTCACCACTGCCCTGGTGCTAGTTAATATTTTCCTTCTTAAGTCTCCAGGTGCAGATGGGAGAATCATAGGGGAAAACGGCTACTTATAGTTCTCCTGATGTGGATCAGAGTCCTGTACTAGTATAGGAAAGGCAAAGAAAGCTTATGATCATCTCTCTAGATGCTACACATGTAATGTAGCTTATGCCTGAGACTCTCTGGAGGAGGCACAGTGGCAGCATTGACTAAAGCTCACAAAATATTTTGCTAATAGATGCTTCACCTATTAATAGAAAATTACTTCTGCTTGCTTAAACTGGATTGTTGTGAGCAATTAATTTAATATACAAAAAAGCAAAAAGGATAGGATTACACAAAGAAATGGGGAAAATAAAACAAAACCAATATGGCAACCAGTATAGCACTCGGAAGGCTTTCAGTCTAGATGACAAACATAACACCTGTGGCCCGGAAAATGCTTTGGTCTGGTCAGAAAATCAGATCTTAAAAAATGCAATGTCTTTGCTTATTTTTGTCTTTTAGAGGAAAGCTGGCAAAAAGTTCTGCCCAAGTATCTACTGAGATAACTTTTCACACTGATTCCAGTGCCATGCATGAGACTAGCAGTGCAGTTCTATGCATGTTTATTCAGATGTTAAGCCTTATTGAATTCAATGGGGCTTATGGGATTGTAGCCTAACCTAGGCTAGATCCAAACCTTTATTTTTCTAATGAGTATAATTTTTCAGTTAGTAAATACTTTGATCACATACACCCTATTACTTGGTAGAAGTGGTTTCCTAAATATTCAATTTACTGGAAACTGATGGCAAATCCTGTTTGTTGCTTCTAAATAATGTGTTTTAATACTGAAGTGGATGGAAGATAAGCTTCTCCCCTGAAATCATTTTCAGTACATGCCATATTAAAAAGAGTGCCATACAAAATGAAAGAGATATTTAAGATCTCTTTCTCACTCTCTAATCACACCTCAATTTAGCTTTTGCATGTTAATCAGCAGCCTTGAATGTCCACAGGCCATTTTGCAAGCGGTTACATGTCACCACTTTGCTCTTCTACACAAGGAATTTCTTGTGTAGTTTGTGACTCTTTGCTCGCAGTCATTTATGGACTCTTCAGAGGATGCCGTGGTTTTCAGATAATGCCATGCTTCTACTTTTTCAGAATACCTTCTCATTTTTTTGTTTTTTTTTTAAAGCAGGAAAATAGGGTACTAAATTAGGATGGGGGAAATGGCACTGTTTCTCCTTGTATAGTTGAGCTGCTCCACTAGAGCTCCACAGCACCGCCTAGAGGTTATGTAGCAGGAAAACAGGAAGAGCTCTTTGGGATCTGGGATCTCAATGCAGTGATGAAACCAAAGTAGATACAGTGATTAGCAGCCTAGTATAGAAAATCCCCAAAAGCCCAACCCTAAGCCATGCTGTGTCAGCACGTAAGTGCTGAGAAAGAGGCATATCACTGTGAGGGCAATGGCAGAAGCCCATAATGACTGTAAGAAAGACCCAAGCAGGCAGAGATGTTTGGGGCTGGAATGCAAGCTGCTTTTACCAAAAGTTTTATAAAATCAGTAAGAACAAGCAACACAAAGTATAAAATACACCTGTTTTAGCAGAAATGAAGCCACATTTTTCTCCCTGAGTCAGCATCGGTCTCTCTTCACCACCTTCCCAGTTCTGATATAATAATGGTGAATTATCTGCCCACCTGAAAAGAAATTGTAAGTAAAATTGTAAATTTTAATAATTTGCAGAATTAAAGAAAATAATTGTCAAATAAATTTGTAAAGAAATTGTCACATTTGTAAAGAAAATAACTGTCAAATAAATTTGTAAAGAAAATAATTGTCAAATAAATTTGTAAAGAAATTGTCACATTTGTAAAGAAAATAATTGTCAAATAAATAGGGAATGGCAGTCAGAACTCTTTATTTCAGGGCCATGGCAGGGAACCGAGGGCACATAATAAAGCTACTTTGTTGAAGCTAAACTGATCTGGACTAGGACAGCGCCTGGATGAGAGACCTGTAAGATCCCATGTGGAAGATGGGACATGATGAATACACGTAAATTAGCTGGGGGGTTATAAATATAATGAGTATTCTAGAACATTTACCTTAGCTGCATTGGGTCTGTTAATCAAGAAATGAATTGCAAATTAAGATCATGATTTCCTTTTCAAAATATTAATGATCAGCTGAACAAGTCCCTAATCCTAAGCACACTTTCCTGGGAGTTACTGCCATTGAATGCAGGAGGATGCATGTCTGAATAAGCGTGGATAGAATTGCATGATAGAAGGGTAACAATAAGGGGTAGCCTTAAAGTAGCTGCAATGAACTAACAATATACTTCTACTCAGCTATTTTTCTGTAAATACAGAAGTATAGACATGATACAATGGACAGAAATATTTCACTTAAAGACTGCTATTACAAGAGACAAAGAACCTATTCACATTACTTTCCCTTTTTGTCAGAAATAATTCATAAGTGCAATATATTACAGTAATGCCTTTTGTATAGATTATGCCTCGAAATTATTTTCAGATCTTACTCCCTTTCAAGTTGAAAGAAAATTTTTAAGATTGACTGGTGCAGGGGAAATGAAAGCTATGTGACAATACAGTCTTACCGAAATCCTTCACTAGATACTTTTGAGTGCAGTGCAATCCACCAATTGTTATAAGATTTTGATACCTGTAAAATATATTTTTTAAAAATATTATGTGAATTTCTTGTATGTTTGCAGTTTATGGTCTTCTGTTGTTAATATGGACTGAACCATTAACACAAAGAACTATAGAAATTATGTAGTACTGACAACACAGCCATGAATAATCTGTTCGGTGGGACTTACTTGCAGGTAAATATGACTAGGACTGCAGCCTGAATTTTACTGTTTATACCATTAAACATACAAGATCTGTAGAACAAAAATGTATTTACCACACTAGAAATAAGACCTAAATTAATTGTAACTTACAAGACAATGAATAGTCTGCATTTTCAGTTTATTCCATGCAATTTATTCCATGCAAATACTTCCAGAAGATGCCTAAAGAAAGCGAAGCATGTGGTTCTCAACACCCAGAGTGTGTATGGGAAACAAACAGAGGCACGCAATTTATGCAGTGTATGAGGCTTGAATGCTGGGCACACTTGTCAGGAATTTGGACTTAGGGCTTGAGAAGCTGACCAGAGTCTGGGATCCAAGCCCAGGGAACCTGTGGGCCTCCTCCACATCCCTACCCCAGAGGCCAATAAACTCCATTCAAGACTGATAAAGGAGCTGGCAAAAGAATTCTTAGAATTGCTGTTTCTTATCTTTGAGAAATGGAGGACAGGGGAAGTGCCAGATGCCTGGAGAAGGGCTAATGTTGTACCCATCTTCAAGAAGGCAACCAGGGAAGAACCTGGGAACTACAGACCAGTCAGTCTGACATTAATCCCTGAGAAAATTCTGGAGCAGATTATAAAGCAGTAAATCTGTAAACATCTTGAAAACACTGCAGTAGTTATACTAGAAGAGAACTTGGAATTGTCAAGAACAAATCCTGCCAGACTAATCAGCTGGAAGCCAGATTTCTGATCTCTTGTTTTGATTAAGTAGCCTCCCTGTGGGAATGCTGTGGATATAATATAGCTTGCCTTTAGTAAAGCTTTTAGACGGAGTGTCTCAAGATATACTGATTAGCGAAATAGCTAAAACTCAATTTTACTGATCAGGTGGAATAACAATCAGGTGGATCCATAGTTGGCTATAGAACTGGACTCAAGGACTGCTTATCAATTGTTAGCTTCTCAATCCGGGGAGAAGTAATGAGTGGGGTACCACAGGGTTTGGTCCTGGGCCCAATTCTCTCCAACATTTTTATTTATGAGGTAGATGAGAAGATGTAGGAAATGCTAATCAGATCTGCGAATGACACAAAATTTGACTGGATAGTTAGTACCTTGAAAGACAGAAACATAATCTCGATAGGTCAAAAAGTGAATTGAAAACTGAATGAAATTTAATAGGGATATATGCCAAGTTCTGCATCTAGAAAAAAGAAATCAAATGTATGATTATAAGGTAAGGATAATTGATTCGCCGATACTACAGGTGAGAAGATCTTGGAATTGTAGATCATAAGCTGAATATGATTCAACAATGCAATGTGGTTGTAAAAAAGGGCAGGTGCTACTTTGGGCTGCATTAATAGAAGGATCACTTCTGAATCATGTGAATCATACTCTTCCTCTGCTCAGTACTGATTAGGACTCATCTGGTGTTCTGTGTCCAGTTGCAGGCACCATTGTTTAAGAAAGATGCAAACAAACTAGAAAAGCTTTAAAGGAAAGCAACAAAGATGGTCAGGAAACAAAGCTGTATGAGGAGAAACTGAAAGAATTGGGCCTGGAGAAGAGAAAAGTGAAGGGAGACATGAAAGTTCTCTTCAGGTACTTGAAATGTTGTCCCGTACAAGAGGGCCAGAATTTCTTCCTGATCATTCCAGAGTACAGGACACAGAATAATGGGCTCTACTTACAGGAAGCCAGATTTCAGCTGAATATCAGGAAGAACTGCCTGACTCTTAGAGCAATGCAACAATGAAACGAATTCCCTACGGAGGTCTTGGACTCTCCCACACTGCAGGAGTTCAAGATGCAGCTGGAGAACCATCTGCTGGGGATGCTTTGACTTGGATTCCCGCACTGAGCAGGGGGTTGGACCCAATGTCCCCTTCCAACATTACTCTTCTGTGATTTGAGTATTATTGTTATATTACATTTATACTCCACTTTTCTTCCTTTTGCAGGGAATCCAAGGCAGCTTACAAGGTTGTCCCGCTCTCCATTTTATCCACACAACAACTCTGTGAAGTAGTTGAAGCTGAGAGTCTAAGATTGGCCCAAAATCACCCAGTTGGCTCCATGGCTGTGTGGGGACTAGAACCTGGATCTCCTGAGTCCCAGTCCAACACACTAACCACTATGCCACACTGGTATGATGTGTGTTGTATCATACAGTAATTACATAAGTCGATCAGCACTTCAAAATGAGAAGATGATATACGGCACAATGGAATGGCAAGAACTACTGGGTGGCATGCAATCATGACAAGGCGTTGCATCTCCTTTGAAGTTGTTTCTAAAAATATGATTGGGAAGCAAGTAGGATGATAGCTGCATGGCCACTGTCACTGCGAAGGGGTAGACTAATGACACAAAACTGCATTTTGTTAAATACAAACTTTATTTATATTGTAAGTTGGATTCTGCCAAACAGGGCCGTCTTAACGCAGGGACCTGATGGTCACTTGCCCGTGGGCCCCATACTAATCTGTGTATGTTCACCCTTGGAAAATTGGAAAACTTCCAAAATTAACAGTAATTGTAGTTGTCGTAGGGGCCCCAGTACACTGCTTTGCCCGGGGCCCATCATGCTGTTAAGACGGCCCTGCTGCCAAACATGCTTTTGTAAGGTTCTCAGGAGAGCGTCTGGCATTGGTAGCCAACACACAGCCCATGAGCTACACTTGCAGCTTCTCTGGCCTTTAGTGGGTCCCTGATGTTCATCCCTCTCGACCTCGACCAGTGTCTTGGCACCAAATGCTAGCAGCGAACTACATTAGAATGAACAAATGTAGATTATTTTCAAACTCAATTTGTCACTTCCACTGCAGTTTGCCACCAGAGTTCAGCAAGAAATTATTCTTGCGAGTAGTGGTAAAATTGCCTCAGGGCAAATTTTGGCAAAGTGGCTGCTGCAAGTGTATAGCCTGAAGACAAGCTACGCAGGGAGGGAAAATGCCCCAGGGCTTTGGGCATTAAGAAAGCAACAGTAAAGCAATATTAAGGTAAACCTAATGAAACCAAACATTAGTATCAAGGAACAATAAAAAGTTACATATCAAATTAAAAACACAGCTGCAAAACCCAACATACTAGTGAGCCAGCTACATTACTCATCCTTTCTGAAAACTGCTGAAACAAACAAACATCACTGTATCCTGAAGGTGAAAACTAGGCTGGCTAGGTACAAAACAGAACAGGGCTCTTTCATCAATAATAGCTGTGCAAGATGGCAGAACTTTGGATGGTGTCATTTTTATAATTCAGAAAAAGATGTAACTGCTGAAATTCTCTTTGCTACAGCTACTCCTCTTTTCCATATGACTACCCAGGTAAAAAGAGGTGAGTTGACAGGCTTCTCCAAGGAGGAGAACTCACGGAGCTACGGGAGCCCCAAAGAGTCCTGCTCTTTGTTGACAGCAATGTAATCACCAGTTATGATGGAATATTGAACAAAGCTCCTCAGTTTATTTTACTGCAAAAGAGGAGACTTCTTATGGAAGGAAGCATCCTCTTCTCTTAAGTATTTTGCATTCGTTAATATTTCCAAAGAACGTTCAAAATGGCAATGACAAAAAGATTACATTTCAGTAGCCTAAGCTGATGAGTTAAAAGGTTTTGATAATTCTGTCCAGATAACCCACAGGGCTGCAATAGAACACATAGTTACCTAGGAGTAATTCTCATTGAACTATATGTGGGTATACTTCTGAACAAGGTATGAAAGGACCAAAACAGCCATTACTTTAAGTGTGCATCCAGGTTTGATGCTTTCCAAAACAAAACAACCAAAAATAGCATACTGAATTTATAAATTAATAGAACTTAAAACATATGCATGCAGATTATAAATGTGAAACATTATGGCAGAAAGCATCAGCTTCTGCCACTATTAATGTATCTTTTAAAACCTACAAATTTATGTAGGATGTGCTATTGTTGGTCATTTGTTTTGTTCAGCAGTGCAGGGCATTACACCCCCTACTTTGTGGCCTAGTCAAAGCTATAGTTTCTTTACACTTTTACTGTACAGAAAGCACAGCCCCTCTGATCCAGATCTTACAAGCTTTCCTATCATGCTACTCTTGGACCATGCACCTATTTTAGAGGTTTTTGGTTTTTTTAAGTGAGTGTTGATAAATGCACAAAGAATTTCCTGCTTTGGCCTTGTGAGGAAAGATTATAGAAATCACATTAAACACCAAGATTGTCTTTCTTTTATAAAATAGTTTCTGATGCAGAAGCACAAAAGAAAGCCTGCATCCTTAGAGGGGGGCAAAAGCAGTGGGAGCCAAACCTATACATAGAACTTCCATTCTTTGCTCCATGGCCAGCAATGCTGCATCTACATCTAATGCAGTCTCAACCTAAGTCATTAACTTGGCTCAGTCTTTGGGAAACAAATAAACTGCGCTTCACTGATTTCATGCTAGAGAGATGGGACAGAGATGATACATGAATTTAAAACTTTTTTCCCTTCTCTTCCCTTCAAGATTCTCAAGCTTTAAATCATGGGGGAGAAAAGAATTGCTGTTCCTTGAAAATGTACCAAATGAAATTGTGTGTTACCTTTTTTAATCTGTTCTGAATAAATTCTTGTTCTTTAGAGGAGTGTATAGATATTATGTCACCACGGAGCCAGCCGCAAACGAACTGGAAAGCAAACCAGTCTGAGGCACTGTCATAAAAAAGGTATTCTGCGCCTTGATAATAAAACCATGATGGCTCTAAAAACCAAGTTAAACACAATCTGTTTCAGTATCTGCAAGAGAAAATCTCTATGGTTAATGCAGAATACAGTTTTATTGCTATTGAACTGTATCACAGAACTAGTGATCAACAAGGATACAAGTGCTGTCCAACTTATGTATAGACTAAACAACATCCTGCTTCTCCGTGAAACTTTTGGGTTTACAAAACTGGAACATGTTCTCTGAAAAGGACCTCCTCTTCAAGTGCTTCATAAATATGTTTCCTTACAGCAAAGTGTGGAACATGTGGCCTTCCAGATGTGATTAGACTACCATTCTTATCATCCTTAATCATTTACTATGCTGGATGGAATTGATAGGTGTTGCAATATAACATCTGGAGAGCAACAGGTTCACCATCGCTACCTTGTATTTATTTTCCAAGAACCATAACAGTATAATAAAGAGGTTGTCATTTATATCAATACTCAAGGTTTTAAAGTTGTAGAAGAATTAAAAGACCCAGAAGGAAGATTTATTGTTTTGAAGATAAGACTCAAATGGGAAGACAAACACATTGGCAAGAATAAAAGCTCCAAATGATGCAAAAGAAACGTTTTAAGATTTTTTTTAGTCGATATTCAAGAAGGAGGCATTTTGAGTATTGGTGGTATGAATGGAATTATAGACTCTAAAAAGGATAAGTCTAAATAAAGTAAAAGGGAGCAAACGTCCTAAAATGTTTTTATTTATATGGAAAATGTATGGAGTTTAAAAAATCCTAGAGCTAGATTTTTTTCTGATACATACCAGGCATACTCAAGGACTGATATCTAAAAGCTTAATTATGAATCCAGAGGCTGTAATGATCCAGCCCAAGATACTTTCTGACCACAACCCATTGTAGATAATTTGGTGGGAAGAGCAAGTTGGAGGAAGAAGTTAGAAACTTAATGACAACCTTTTGTTACAAGAAGAAAAAGTTGGAAGTACTGGAAGCATTTTTTAGATTAAATAATACAAGTGATTAAATAATACATCTCTATAGCTACAATATGAGAAACCAGTAAAACTTACATGAGAGGATGCGTTTTAGCAATAATTTCTAAGAAAAAGAGAGAGAAATCAGAATAAAGTAAAAAAAAACCTTCTGGAACAAATTCAAATACTAGAGGATCATCATAAAATAGTACAAGACAAATCAATCTTAACTGAATTCAGACAATTAAGACATGATAGAGACAGAAGAGATAGAAGTTGAGATTTTTGAAACAAAAGCACTTTGAATATGTAAATAAACATGGAAGATATTTAGTGTATTGCCTTAAGAAATAAATGGAAAGAAGATCTATAACGGGTGAAAAAGGACAATCAAATAAGATACGTTGAAAAGGAAATCCATGACCAATTTACTAGGGTTTTTTTTCAAACTTATATTAAAAGATATCGACTTCAGAAGATGGAATGGAGCAATATATAAAAGAAACACGTCTTGAGAAATTCACTCCTGAGCAGAGAAAAATACTGAACAATGCTATTACTATTCAAGAACTATCACAAGCTATTAGAAAATTAAAAAAAGATAAAGCACCTGGTCCCGATGGATTTACTGCTATGTATTACTAGGAAAAATTAATATTACCACTTCAACTTGTAATTAATGAAATTAAAGAAGAGAAACTATTACAACCAAAATGGCAGGAGCTCATATAACATTAATACATAGAGAAGATAATGATCCCGTGCTACCACATTCTTACCAACCTATTTCATTATTAAATGTGGATTAAAAAACATTTTACTTCAATAATGGCACAGAAACTAAGAAAATGGATAGAAAAACAGATTCATACAGACTGGATTTGTTCCAAAAAGATTTATGAAAGATAACATTCATCTTGTGATTGATGCAATTGAAGTGGTGGTGGTGGTGTTGGTGGTGGTGAAGAAGAAAGCTGCATTTATCTTTTGATAATGTGTCTTGGCCCTTCTTAATGAAAACTCTTAATAAATACTTAGACTGTGGCTCAGGTTTTATGAATTGGATTCAAGCAATTTATACTAAATAACATGCTAAGTTTTTAACTAATGGTGTATTAACTGACAGTTGTCAAATGGAGAAGGGAACATGCCAAGGATGCCCTTTATCATCTCTTTTATTTATTCTTGTACTGGAAATTTTAGCAAAAAAGATATGACAAGACCCCCCCCCTCAAAAAAGGCTTAAAAGCAGATGAAGAATATAAAATGAAATGTTATGCTGATATTCTAGTCTTGACCATTCTAAATCCACATCAGTCTATTCAGTATATGGACTTTATTATGGCTATTAGATTATTAAGAAAAAAATATATTAAATTTGCAACAGAACAGGAAAAGGAAAGTATAAAAAAAAGATTTCAGGATGTGAAATAACTTCAAACCCGGTTGAATATTTAGGGGTAAATATAATGGGGCATAATGATACTCTATTTCAGGACAATTATCAGGGATGAAGATCCAAAAAGATCAACAAAAATGGACTAAACTAAAAGTATCATGGTTGAGAATAATTCCCATTATAAAAATGAATATAGTACCTAAATTGATTTTTTAAATCCAGGTGATACCAATTGCTATATCAGGAAAAATTCTCCAAGAGTGGCAAAGACAATTAAATACCTTTATTTGGAATGGCAAAAAACAGGATTAGATTTAAAAGAGAAGAGGAGGGAGGAGGACTTTCAGTACCTAATTTAAAGCTAGGTTTGGATTACAGCTAGCCTGGTTTGGATTACAGACTGGATTATAAATGCTAAGGACAAGCTAGTGAAGTTAGAAACAGCAGAACTTGAAGATGGAATACACAACCTCTTATGGGTTAAAGAGTCAGTTAAAAAGGCCTTGATATCAAATAATAATCATGCATTAAGAGATGGCCTAGTAAAAAATTGGTATTCCATGAGAAAAAAAGTCGTCCAATCTCATTTCATGTTCACAGTTGAAGCATACAGAAAATACTTAAGGAAAAACAAAGATTTTATAATCTATGGGTATATGATGGATCAAAAAAGACTAGTCAAATCTTGGCAGCAACTAAAAGATGAAGAAAAAATATATAATGGTGTTTTTATCACCAACTGGTTTCAAGAATGAAAGAGGAAGTACAATCAGGGAAAGGTACTGTAAGAGAGTTGACAGATTTAAAAAAGTCAATTACACAACAGAATGATCATTTATTAGGAAGACTTTATAAGCAGTTACTACAACATGACACTGATAATCAACAAGACAAGAAACGTATGACAGTTTGGAAGCAAAATCTTGGAGAAGAAATGTCACCTTGTCAAAGGGAAAGTTTGTGGAAGAAAGAAATTAAATTCACAGCTAGCCAAGCATTAAGAGAAAATGGGTATGTTTTATTGGTGTATATTACTCCAAAATATATAGGAATTTAAAATGTTGGAAATGTAACAGGGTGGATGGGACTTTGAACCATATGTGGTGGACCTGTGAAACAATTAAAACGTTTTGGAAATTGATACATGCAGAAATACAAAAAACCTTTAAAACTAAGTTTCCTATGAGTCTTACGAATATGCTTTTGAATATAACGCCAGACACTTTTTCAAAGAATATGTCAGAGTTATTTAAATATATGACAAGTGCAGCAAGAATTACAATTGCCTCTAAATGGAGAACACCAGAATCTTCAACAAGCTGGCAGAGATATGCAGTGGTAGCAAAATTAACTAATTATGTAAATAGAAGACCAATTTAAGAATTTAATGACAAATGGAAATTCTATTATACCCAATACAATTAGTAGGATGTAAAAGGAAGCTCTTTAAAAAGTAGTTGATGATTTATAATTGATTTGAAGCAATTGCAAATTTTGTTGATACACAGAGTAATAATTCTCTTTTTTCCCCTGAACTTCCATAGAGTATTGAATGATAGAAAGATATTTTCAATGTCTTTGAAATTTGTGGGCTTGAACGTATTGGTTATACTTGTTCAAAATACCTTGGCAATTTTATTTTACTCTCTCTCTCTCTCTCTCTCTCTCTCTCTCTCTCTCTCT